GCTCAGGCTCCTAAAGGCACCCGGGCCCCACAAAGGCTCCAGAGTAGAGGCTTTCATCTATTGATGTGAGGATAGAAGGACTTGAGTGACCCCTGGGCTGCTGTCTGCATGGGGCTCGCGTCTACCTGTGCTGTTTGTACAAATAAACCTGAGGCAGGATTTGTCAGTCAAACAAACAAACAAACAAAAACAAAAAAGAGGCAGACTCACAGATATAGAGAATAAACTAGTGGTTGTCAGTGGGAAGAGGGGAGCAGGAGGGACAAGAGAAGGGTAGGGAATTAAGAGGTACAAACTATTGTGTATAAAATAAGCTATAGGGATATATTGTACAACATGGGGAACACAGCCAGTATTTCATAATAACTATAAATGGAGCATAACCTTTAAAAAAAAAAGAGGCAAGCACTTCCCAAAGCACTCTGTGCCTACAATATCAGACTGTAATAGTTAAATGAATGCTCAAACTTTGTGACTGTCAATTTTCTTTTAAGGAAAAGTTGCAGACAAAAAGAAAAAAGCAACTCATTCTAACCCATATTTTTTAAATGTACAATTCAGTTTCCTACTTTATACCCTAAAACCATAAGATGTTGAGTATTATCTATAAAAATATTAAATCACTATGTCACATACCTGAAACTAATATAAATCAACTATACTTTAAAAAAATGTTGAGTATCAAATATAATCAATCTAATCCAAGGAAAGATTTGAAATTCTTTTTTTAAAAAAAAGGGGCAATATGTTAAATAAAAATAATGCTGATAATTTATATGTGGGCATCAAATGGAAAAAAGAGAACAATTAGTTCAAGAGAATCAAATAGTTTCTCCCCTACACACACATATATTCAAATTTTATAGAGGGGAGAAAAAAAACCCCTCAACATTATGAACCAAAACAAACAGAAAAAAAAATTTACGTCAATTTGGAAGTATTACCTATGGTTCTGTACAGACTTCCCAATGATAAATGTCTGAAGAAAATAACAAGAATCTTCAACTATACTAGGGAAACATCACTATTGAATGTGTTCTCACAAACTGGTAAAATGTCACCAGGTCTGAGCTTAGGCTTGGAGTCTGGGCAAGCAACAAGACAGAGGAGAAAAGGTCTATGTTCCCTGGAAGGCACGGTGACAGCCATTTGTGACATCGTTATCCAAGTCAATCTTTTCTTGCAAGATTAACAAGTACCACTTATTGATAGGAATTATCATGGGATGCTCTGCAATTTAATAAAAACTGTTTCATCTGAAAAGATTATCTGCCTCTCTGTGCTAAAAGCATGTGCAGAAATTAAATCCTACTTGAAACATTTTCCAGCCTCTAACCTAAGTCCAAACTTCCCAAGACATAAGACAAAGAACCTTCCTTAGAGTCTACGGTCCAGGCTCAGGTCTTCCTCCTACAATCAGTTATGCCCTCCTTCCCAAACCAGAGCACATGGTAACAAATGAAGACGACTATTCCAAAGATGGTGTGAAAAATCAAAGTGTCACAATGGTACACTAGGGTTTGTTGTTTGAAAAATGATAAATCATTTCATAATATAAACTAATTACCTCGTAATTTATTTGCTAAAATTGAGATTTCAAACACTGGCTATTCTTAAATAGGGGGCAACGGGATATATCTATTACTGGAAATTCATTTAGTACTACTTAAACTTAATTGTAAAACAGCTCCCATTTCCTGAGACTCTTATATTCCAGGCTTTTACTAGATGCTTTTATATACATTATCTAGTTTAATCCTCTTAATGATCTTATGAGGTAGTCTCTAGCCACTCCATTTAATATAGAGGAGAAAACCAAGATTTAGCCCACTCCACACAGAAGTTTAACTTGGGGCTACTTCAGGCAGACACCTTCCTTAGTAACTGATCTCTCCCGGGAAGGGGGTTTAACATTAGACCAATAATTCCCCAACTGTGCACCAGGCACTCAGGGAGTTGTAGCAAATTCACAGGGGTAACTTAGGATATTTGAAAAGTTCAAGGGAAACACAGTGTACTCAACACGCTGGACACCACTGAACCTACAAACAGGAGATAGTTCACAGTTTCCACCATTAGATCACATTACGTTCTTATCAGTAACATTATATCTCTGCAAAGCTTCGGTTTTCAGTGGTTGCTGTGATTAAAAAGCAATTGCTGCAGAAAAATTAATGTGGAACAGGCAACAAGCATGGTGGTATCCAGTCTGATCCCAAAGTCTGAGAAGTAGTATGTATTTACATACAATATAATGCATATGTGCAAAGTGTTATAATTCTACCTAATAAAACTGAAAAAAGAAAAAAAACAGTCTAAGAACAGTATAGACACACACATCCTATTTGTAATTGTTGCTATTGAGGAATGATATAATTTTTTTCTCTGTTTATGTGTATTATTTTTTTCAAACAGCTTCTATGTTGTTAGGATAGAAATACTTATTACATTTGGATCTAACTACTAGTAAACTACTTAAATCTAGGGGCACTGTGAAAAAAATGACTGAGATACTAACAGCACCATGGAGCAAGTTTAGGAATCTTTGCCTTAGCCAAGAAGTGACAGGGTTGTGTAAGATTCACCAAGGAAAGCTGTGATTCAGCCCAAAGAAGTAACTTAAAACAAAGTCCCTAACACAAACATCATACGCAGAGAAAGAGGAATTTAGGTTAAAACCGTTTTTAAAGGTCACTCTCGGCTTAATCCTTTAAATCCCATACAATGTCTCCTGGATAATTGGTATTTAAAATAAAAAAAAACTTCTAAAACACATGCACACAAATTACTGTTTTTCCAGTTCTTAGAGACTCAAGCGAAGCCATTAAAATTACAGCCTCCAAGCTATGTTGGAAGAGACTGGGCCTCCCCTACACAGACAGAACACACCCAAGGAGCCTGTGCCAAGGAAACCAGGGGAAAGCCTAGACAGAGAGACTGCCCCCATCCCAGCACTTTGATACTTTCAGCTCCTTTGTGGTTTGCATCTCACTCTCAATAGCCTACTTTTAAGTTCTACAGGAATGCTCTAGGTTATTGTGGAAATGCTTGTTTGGAAACTTCCCTTCCACAGAGTTTCTCATACAAGACACTAAGTGTGAAAAGCAAGGGGAAAATAAACACAAAATCCAGACTGTTGGTTCCTCAGGAGGAGAAAGAAAAGTAAGTGGAATGCCAAGCGGAGGAGCGTTCCGGGCTGCAAGGTTCTGAGGATGTTCTAGTTGTTCATGGGTACTTCATGGGTACTTCTGTTCTTGCTCTTTAACTTGTACCTCTCCATTTGATACTTTCTGAATGTATGATATATTTCACAGTGGTGGCACCAGAATTTCCATGTGGGAGGGCCTTGGCAGTTGGAAGTGTGCCTTATTTCTAAGCAGAGTTGGATCACAAGCCGTCTGCTTTTACTTGGAGTATATGCTTATCTGGAGGGGCTCTGGAGAGGTTGATGAGTTTGAGTTGGAAGCTAAGGTTCATTTTTGGTGCCAACACGGAACAAGGAGTTAACAAATTAGCATTTCAGTATCACCCTTTGTTTATACCTCCCAACAATATGCAATTAGTTGTTTTCTGGCCTCTTATTCCTTTCCACCTTTCTTCCACTCTCCCCTCCTCATTTATGACCTAGAGTGCAGAAAATCTTCCAAATTTAATTTATATCCCTATTTTAAAAAAAAATTCTTCATTTACCATATGCTAAGCACCTGCTAGAGATGATGGAAGATAAACATGTATAGTCACACCTACTACAGCACAAGAACAACAGGTTGCTATTGCTGTTTTAAGGATGGGAAATCTCCTCTCAGACACCATCAGTACCCTGTACCACCATCCTAGACCCAGATGTGTTTGTCTTCATTGTCCAAGTTCTTTCCACTTACATTGGTCTAACAGACATTACCTAAATGTGAACAAATATCATCACCCAACAGGCTCACAAAAAGGATCCTTAGCGTTCAGAGGAGCGATGCCAAGCTTTTTTTTTTACTTGAATCATTTCATTTAATTTCTACAGCAATATTATACACAGTTTACAATTCTAAAACCTTAGGTTTAAAGAAATGGGTTTTCCAGAGTCACACACCTAACAAGTGGCATTAAGACGCAATCTCTTGACCCCAAAGGGGATCTCAATCACCAGTTAAACCATCTCACCACACTTCAGGGAAAATATTCTTGACCAGTTTCAGGAAACTGAAGCTCCTCTCGGGTCACAAATAATCCTCCACTTCCCCTCCCGCCCCTCAAATCTACCGGAAGCACCACACTGAAATTCCCAAGAAAAGTGTCGGTAAGCTGATGTCTGAACTCAAGCCAGACAACGCGCTTGCTTCCTCGGGCCTGGGGAGACGCCACTTGCTAACTCTTTACAGAACTTAATTCCAGCCAGAGCGGATCTCCCCGGGGCAGAACAGCCCCCACCCTCCGGCGCCTACACCCCTTGGCGGTCCTCAAAGGGCTGAGGGAGGGGCGCAGGCTGCTGGCGCGTCCAAGCCGAGCTCGGTCACTCTGAGGCCGGCCTGCAGGCCCGGGGACGGCGGAGGACGCTAGGTGACCAGAAAGGACCCTCCTTTACGCCCGAAGACCGCCTGCCTCCACGTCCGGAAGAAATACTTGGGGACCTCCGGCCCCCACCACCACTTTCTTCAAACTCTTTGAGCTCACTGGAGAAAGAGAATGGGGACATGCAAAGACGAGAAAGTTCTCTGCGCGCCCCCCCTCCACCAAGTTCTATATTCTATGGAGGCAACTAAAGGAAAGCGACAGGGGAGGTGCCCTGGGATGGACCCCCGCTCCCGCCTCGGCTTTCCCGGAAGCCGCAGGAAAGGGGGCAGCGCGCTCCGTCTGGGACTCTTCCCCAAGCAGACAACAATCTGGGGGCGCCCTCACCCCCGACATCGTCCTCTGCGTACCAGGGTCCACCCCCTCCTCGGGGAGTAGGGGGCGCCGGCCCTCAGGTTAAGAAGGGTCTCGAAAGGACCCGGCGAGGTCGCACGTACCTTTCTCTCCGTGCCGCAGGGACCGATGCCGGCGACAGGGCGAGGGGCAAGGGGAGTCGATGGAGACGGGCTCCGCTGGCTCCCGCGGCCCTGGGCCTCGGCGCCGCCCAGCGCCGCCGCCTCCCACCGTCGCTCGCAGGGTTGCGCTCCCCGTTCCCTCAGGTTACCTGTGGCAGA